CGCCAGGCCGTCGGCCGACCCAGCTGATCGTAGCTGATGTCCAGAATGGTGATGTCATTGCGCGTGCGCACCGACTGGCGCGACGACGCCACGTCATACTCCAGAGTCAGCTGAATGTCGCCGTTCACCTTCAGGTTTCGCCCCACCTGAAAACGGTATGATAAATAGCACTGTGAACGGCCCATTCAGAGCGGAGGGTATTGGACAAAGTTCCAGTTCGCACAGCCGCCGTTTCTGCAGGCGCGTCATTGTCATTGTCAGCGTCAGCATGATGTTAGACCTATAAACTCGCGCGCAGTAGTCACTGGCTGAGTGCGCTTTCGACCAAATAAATGATGAGAGCAGCTGGCAGTGCTGAGGCAGCAATGCTGCACTACTTACAGACGCGTTAGATGCTTGACCAAGGCGTTGGCTACTATTACCCGGCCACCGGCAATCTGCTCATCAATCGAGCGAGGGTAGCTCCACATCAACCCATCTAGCGAGGGTAACTACAGTTTAGCAAGCATGGTTAGCTCAACAATGTTATTCTGTCGGTTTTCGCAAACAGCGGGCAGCTGGTGCAGTCGTGGCACCAGCGGGCCGGCCGGCACCAGAAGCGGACCACACCAGCCCGCTTCACGACTCGCCGGCCCCGCTCCAGCACCGGTCTCCACTCAGCCCGGGCGGCGCAGAGCGCCATCGACCGCTCACCTTGGTGATCCTCCTGCCGCGGCCGCGCGCCTGCTTCTCGGTGAAGTAGAGCCACTCGAACCTGTTGACCGGGTCTCCGGCCACCTCGAGCCGCTGCGAGCCGGGCGCCAGCAGGCGGCGCGCCTGCGCCGGCGGCTCGCCGCCCAACGCCGGATAGGTCACCACGTCCGTCAGCGTGGCGTGACCCCAGGGCGTCACGTGCTCCAGGTCACCGCCAGCCGACACCGAGGTCACCCAGGTGCCGGAGCCTGCGGCCGGTCGCGGTGAGGTCAGGGGCGCACTGGAGGCTCGGCAGGGCGACGACCGGGGGAAGACGGAGTCAGGGGGTGAGAAAAAGAACACTCCACGTCCTCGCAAACCCTTTTCCATCCTCTGAGCCCATATCATATTTCCAAGCGGTTCTCTTGACGTATCTCATAAAGAGATGTTCAGGGTCACTCAAACCAAAGTCTTTGTACTTCGGTGCGTGAACTCCAGGCGCCGGGAGCGAGAGAGCTCAGACAGCTCGAGCGAGAGACAGCTTGGTGTGAACTCCAGGCGCCGCGAGCGAGTGACAGCTCGAGCGAGAGACAGCTCGGTGTGAACTCCAGGCGCAGCGAGCGAGAGACAGCTCGGCACGCGCCGGCGAGCGCGGCGCCGTTGCCGCAGCGGACGCACCGTTCACCATGGTGACGGTGCTCCGCTGGATGAGCAGACTCTCGGCCGCCTTGCCGTCCCGGGTGACGACAACCGACGCGCCCTGCTTGCTCAGATCGAAGCTCAGCCGCAGCACGTGACCCGTGGGCGTCACGTGACCGATCAGCCGACCGTACTGGTCGTAGTCGTAGGTCGTGCTGCGGCCGGCCGCGTCGTACCGGGCGCCCATCAGTCCTGCCGGCGGCCGGCAGGGGTCAGCACCGGCGCTCGCGGCACCGGGGGCAGGGGTCAGCACCAGCGCACGCAGCGCCGGGGCAGGGCTCCGCTCCGCAGTGTACGCGACATGGAAGGAGGACGAGCGGGATTCAGAGAGCAATGCCTTCGCGGCTGGGGACAAGAGCGCGCGCTTGTTCCGCACTGAATGAGAAGGGTTCACGATGATTCTGGTGCCACACCGCAGCGTACGGCGCAAGGGCAGCAGACAACCACTCCTCTTCAAAAGCGTGGAATTGGAGATTGGGTTGAAAGCGAGTTCTCATCATCGCGGTGCTGCCAGCACCTACCCGAGGTGTCCAGGTACTCGAAGCTGGTGTTGAAGCGGTCGGGGGTGATGAACTGCTGCAGCTGCCCGCTGCTCGGAGACATGATCACCTCGCACTTCTGACCCAGAGGGTTGTCGATCGAGGTCACCTGGAGGTCACGGCTCACTCACTGCGATGGTTCGAAGACCCAAAGATCTCTCCCCACCGGCGTCTGGTCAGTCAGCAAGCATCCTTTGGGATCCTTAGCGCTCATCCGAACGATTCATTGCTGATGTACCCCTACACAATGGTTTTCAATCAAACAAAGCAGCACGCCCTTTTTCATAAACAACAATTGAAGCGTGCTGGAAACGGAGTCCCCCTCCAATCTCTTCCAGCACAATGCGATGCTGAGCCCCAAAAGGCGCCGTGTCGAACTTCTCAAACCAGACCGCCTGCCCGCACGGCAGCCACGCCTCCGGCGTCGTCGAGCGGCTGGGACGGCGCGGAGCGTTGAGGTCGGCTGCTCCGCCGCCCGCCGCCGGCCTCACCTGGTACGAGTAGTCGCGCAGGAAGGAGACCTTGTTGCCGATGGCGTCGGTGACCGAGCTCAGCCGGCCGTTGCTGGCGTTCAGGTTGTACGTGAACTTGTACAGCGTGTGCCGCGTCACCATGTTGCGCGTCTCCGTGTGCTGGCCGAACCGGTTGAAGACGTAGGTATGGCCGTCGTCGGGCGCGTGGATGTGGTAGCTGCCGCGCCGGTCCGGCACGGGCAGCGGCGCCGACACCGTGCGGATCCGGTGGTTGGCCTGGTCCGAGATGTGGACGGCACCGTCGGGCGTGACGGCCAGCGCCGCGATTCCGCCCAGCAGCGCGTCAGCCGCCAGCACGTGGTCCTCGTCAAAGCACCTGCGGCGGGGCGGAGAGGTTCAGGGTGCGGCTGCTGTTCGCGGCTCTGGAGGTCTCGCGGGATGGAGCCAGTGCCAGTGATGGTTCCATGCGTGTGACCTGTGTGTGTGTGATGCCGCACCGAGCAGGGCCAATGAGCTCCAGGCTCCAGGGCAGGTTCCAGTGATCGGGAGCTGCGGTAAGCCTCGCGGAGCACAACACGTGGCAGGTCATAACTGAAATAATCCTCGTATACTTCGGCTCCCACTATAAACCTACAACGCCTTTAAGTAACAGCACAGTAGGTTAGTGAAGTGGGCACCCACGAAACCAATAAGAGCAGTAATGCGATTCAACGAACCGCCACGTGCGATGGACTTTGACGAACCGTGGTGATGGTACTCCATCGCACGCGCTCCATCCAATTATTTGAGCCCCATAGGTCACATCCTCCCCCCCCCCCCCGGCGGTCCTCGGTGCCGACACCGCCCTCAACTGCGGGTAGAACCCCACAGCCCACAACAAACCCCCCTCCCCCCCCCCCCCGGGTAGTCGGCGCGGCCGGTACCGCCCTCACCTGCAGTCGTCCTCGCGGCAGTTGCACTTGGACTCGGCGCCGGCCAGCCCCTGGATCGTGCCGTCCGTCTGGATGACGCGCACGCGGTTCACACGCTGGCTGTCGCTCTCGGCCACGTACAGGTCGCCCTGGGGCGAGAAAGCCAGACTCTGCGGCGAGACGAGCGTCGACTGGGCGGCCAGCTGCGGTGGGCTCCGCTGCCGCCGCGACGGACACTGCAGCGGCTTGCCGGCCACCAGCCGCACCCGGTAGTCGGCCGTCAGCTGGAACACCTGCCGGCGCCGCCGCGGGCCGTCAGTGGCCTGGGCCCGAGGACGCGACACCTGCCGACGCCACCGCGGGGCAGTCAGTGGCCTGGGGCCGAGGACGCGACACCTGCCAACGTCGCCCCGGGGCGGTCAGTGGCCTGGGGCCGAGGACGCGACACCTGCCGGCGCCGCCGCGGGCGGTCAGTGGCCTGGGCCCGAGGACGCGACACCTGCCGACGCCCCCTCGGGGCGGTCAGTGGTCTGGGCCCGAGGACGCGACACCTGCCGAAGCCCCCTCGGGGCGGTCAGTGGTCTGGGCCCGAGGACGCGACACCTGCCGAAGCCCTCTCGGGGCGGTCAGTGGTCTGGGCCCGAAGACGCGACGCCCGCCGGCGCCGCCGCGGGGCAGTCAGTGGCCTAGGCCTGAGGACGCGACCTCTGCTGACGCCCCCGCGGGCGGTCAGTGGCCTGGGGCCGAGGACGCGACACCTGCCGGCGCCGCCGCGGGGCAGTCAGTGGCCTAGGCCTGAGGACGCGACCTCTGCTGACGCCCCGCGGCGCCAGTGGTCTGGGCCGAGGACGCGACACCTGCCGGCGC